ATAAAATGTACGCAGAATCAATCAAACCCGGCAATATCAATTCCATTCATACATTTGTTACCATGTGTTACATATGTCAAAAAAGTGATCCTGACAAAATTTGTCACTAACTTACCGCTAAGTTAGCTGACTTTCTAATGGGAAATTAGAATGTGAAAAAAAATCTTTAATAGTGATCCTGACAAAATTGTTATTTCTCGACAAGCTATTTTTGGACATCTATATGATCGTATTGATTCAATCTATGTGTCCATTGGAGTCAAATATCATAATCTTAAAAGAATAATAAATATAACTCACTTAAAAAAAATGTTTGTTTTGGAAGCTAAAAATACATTTTTTTCCAAAATGACATTACTTCTGTTGATAATGAAAATGTTAAATTAATTCTATGAAATCATAAATGACATAAGGCATCACATGGTGAAATTTTTTTTATGAAAATCGAATAATAATTGCCTCTTTTATAGACCAGAAACCTGGAAAAGTGACTTGTAGAAAATCGTCCATTTCTCTGCAACCGTACAAGTTAGAAACCCTTTTGTGGTATCTGTATGATCGTATGGGTTCATTCTATTTATTGATTGGAATTAAATATCATAATTTGAAAAACATTACAAATCAGACAGGTCCTACCATAATGGGAAAATCTTTTGTTTTTTTCCTGATAACTCGCTCACTCTTGTACATAATCGCGGTCACATAATATGTCCCCATGTTAAAAGTACGGTCTATTCCCAAAATTGGAGAATGTGGTCGTATATTGTCGTCGCCCTCGTCCGGCCGGCGTCCACAATTGCTTGTGGACGCTCTAGAGGCTAAAGTTTGATTGATAAAGTCAATATCCGACTGACTTTAAATTTATACACAGTGTTTAAGGTCATGAGTCGAAGAAGCTTATTGATTTTCAACGATTTCCGATTATTACTGCCAAAGTTATGGCCCTTGATCACTTTGAAAAATCTTGTGGACGCTCTAGAGGCCTAAGTTAATATCCGATTGACTTTAAATTTATACAGTGTTTGAGGTCATGAGACGAAGAAGCCTATTGATTTTCAGCGATTTCCAATAATTATGGCCCCTGATCACTTCAAAAAAATCTACTGCCAGAGTTATGGCCCTTGATCACTTTGTGACGCTCTAAAGGCTAAAGTTATCATCCGATTGACTTCAGATTGATACATAGAGTTTAAGATCTTGAGACGAACAAGTATATTGATTTTCAATGAATTTTTATGTCTTGAACAGCTAAATCCATGATATTAAATGTTTTGTATACAAAACGTTAGCAGGGGCAGAACTTTATAAAAACAAACAAATTCTAATGGTTTTCTGATAATTACTTCATGAGTTGTTGCTCTTAATCAGATTTTAGTGTATTATAAATGTTTTATTACCGAAAAAAGTAAAAATATGCAACAACTTTTGTTGACTGCCCGGACAATTTAGCTGTTGTGGGCGTATGTTTCGTTGCCTGGCAACCTATCTTTTAAAAAGTGGTTCATGTCAACAATTTGATCTTTGGTATAACACATAACAGAAGGGACTTCACCTTTTCTATGTACTATCTGTTGTACAAAAGGGTGAGTATTCAACCATCCGCTACGTTGGCTGCATGTACTGTTGTTTTGGTTTTCTGTTTTCTGAGTTGTTGCTCTTAATCAGATTTTAGTGTATTATAAATGTTTCATTACCGAATAAAGTAAAAATATGCGACAACTTTTGTTGACTGCCCGGACGATTTAGCTGTTGTGGGCGTATGTTTCGTTGCCTGGCAACCTATCTTTTAAAAAGTGGTTCATGTCAACAATTTGATCTTTGGTATAACACATAACAGAAGGGACTTCACCTTTTCTATGTACTATCTGTTGTACAAAAGGGTGAGTATTCAACATTCCATCCGCTACGTTGGCTGCATGCACTATTGTTTTGGTTTTCTGTTTTTGTCTATAAAATGCGTTTTGGATTTGTTTCATGTTTGCAGATGCATGCTGTGTTGGATTTGTATTCATGTCTATAAGCATCCCAGACAGCCACTCAGCTTTGGCCCTACTATGACCCACATCTGGCAGCATCTGGCTAGATGTGGCCCATATCCAGCCAGATGTTGCCACATGTGGGCCATAGTCTGGGTAACACTTGGCAACTATTGGCTCACTGCTGATGAACTAAACTTATTTTTGTAACTGGTATCTAAGAATATCTTGTCAGTTTGTTTAAAAGTTTTAAATTTTTTGTTTTATATTCAAAACATATGAAAAAATAATATTATGCGAGAAGTTTGCCATATCTGGGCCAGAGATGGCCCACATCCAACTGGCCAAATGCCTCAAAATATCAACACAATAAATTTCGGCTCAGAATATGACATCTAGTTTCCAGTAGAATTTTCCTGTGTTCTATATTAGTTTTATTACAGTCTTAAAATAATATTTTTTGAATGTACTGTATATAATATGAATGGAATCCTCTCAACCCACCTTCCCCAAAAAGCCAGTAAATGTAAATCTTTAAAGCAAAAATAATAAATTATTCTTGAAAGAAGTCAATGAAATAAAGACAAAGTTTATTTTAACACAGCCTGAGTGTTGGGTATCATGCTACAAAGTAGTTAGATTTTAATTACTATAGCAGATTCTGTACTCAGATTATACAATTTGTTGAAGCCAGCAGGTCAACCAAGTAAATCTTTCAACAAAGCATAATTAACAGCCCATTTACTATCTTGAAATCTGTTTGGTCATTGGCTGAATTTAAAATTGTAAAATTCAGTGTAAAACAACTTAATAGAATTTAGTACTAACAAGAAACTGAAGACATTGCAGTGGTACACAACTGTGCATTATTTTCACAGAACTTAGTTAAAAGATAAAAAAGATAAGTACATTTTATTACTTTCTCTACAATAATATTGAATTAGATAAGATTTATGTGATTTCATTATTTAAATAACTTCATTTAACTATTATTTTGCCTTGGCAAATAAGAATTATTTGACTTAATACTTTGGTATTTGCATTGACAGACCCCTAGGCCATGCTTGATATAAAGAAGGAAAAACATGTTTTTTTAAGTACATTTTTTTGCATTTATTGCAGGTGTGATCAAACTTCACCACAAGGATGCAATGGAAAATAATTTCAAAAATGTTGTAAAAAAACTGCTTGAATGGGGGAAGAACAAAAACAAAGGGAAGAGGAGGAGGAGACAGCTGCAGGAACTTAAGGGGAGAATGATATTGACATGGATAATTTATATGCCTTATAACGACCAGTGAATTCTTGTTGAAACGTCGCGTGTATATAATATAGTGATTGTTATCCATAGAACTGTGTTGTGTTATATGGATGAATAAATTTTATAATTGAAGATTTTGCTTTTGTTGTAAATGTATGTTGTTTGTGCTGCATGCAAGATATCCTTAATTTCTACTATCCCAGCGGGCACAGAACGTTGTGACAACGTTTTTCAGAGGTTGTATCACAACGTCTGAAATAAGTCAGCTGTAGGTTGTTTTGCAACAAACTCTTACGTTGTGACAACGTTGTACGGACGTCAAAGCAACATTGTCACAACGTTGTGTGGTGGTTGACGAAAAGTTGTGTGGTGGTTGACGAAAAGTTGTGACAACGTTGTACGGACGTCAAAGCAACATTGTCACAACGTTGTGTGGTGGTTGACGAAAAGTTGTGACAACGTTGTACGGACGTTCAAGCAGCATTGTCACAACATTGTGTGGTGGTTGACGAAAAGTTGTCACGACGTCAGAATTTGTTGTTTTGCAACGTTGTGTGGTGGTTGGCGAAAAGTTGTCACGACGTCAGAATTTGTTGTTTTGAGGTTGTATAAAACCCAGTATAAGCCCCATCCGAACTCCCTACAGTTCTGCCCCTACTGGACTAACGAAGACGGGAATAGGCGGCCGGGCAGGATGGAAGTTAAATTAGGTGTGTGTGCGGGGAAGGGGGGGGGGGCTTAAATGCCCGACAGATTTGGGCCACGGTTTTGACATAGTGAAACGATACGCGAAGTTTCAACACTCTCACTCAATTAGAATCAAAGTTATTGTGTCCCATCACAACCAATCTAATTGCTTCTTTCTGAATAAAATCAGTATCAATTAATAGGACAATACGTAGTTTCAAAACATTCAATTCAAACGATTATATTACAGACAATATTAATGCTAGAGTCATATAACTTTGCAGTAATGGGTAAAGGTAATAGAATCTGATCATTAAATTTTAAGTAATGGTCATGTAATGAGTAATGGAAGATTTCAAAAGTAATGAGTAATGGAAATGTAATTAATTACATTCCGAAAATCATGTAATGGTCAATTACATTTCAATTACATTTAATGGCGCATTTTTGAATGGCATTTAGTAATTGGAACATAATCAAAAAACACACTTTTATGGAATAACAATTACTATGGTTTATTTCACTGCAACGTTTCAACAAGATTTCACAAGTCATTTTCAAGCATATATATACAAATAAATAAAATGAGAAAGATATGAATATATATATAAACATCAGTGGGAACTATCCAATGGTATGCAAGGAAGGTGAACATGAGTAGCTATCACAAGCTATTGATGAAACAACGGTAAATAATCGTATATACTAGGATTAACTCATTATACAATTAAAAGATCAAACAGAGGATTGTTGAGATGTACTGAAACCATACACATTATACTATATAATTGAAACCAGTTTAAAAGAAAATAAGGCATAGATCTATACATGATTAACTAAATATACATTCATAAAAGATCAAACAGAGGATTTACAGAAATATATTAAAACCATACTCTTATGCATTCAGTGATAACTAGAGTTTTAAAAGAATATAACAAGGAAACATATTTAATGTTATTACATTTTATTACTATTTAAAGATTAGTGCTAATTTAGCATTTAATCAATCAGATTTAAAGACATGGTAAAACTATTGTCTTTAAATCTGATTGATTAAATGCTAAATTAGCTCTAATCTTTAAATAGTAATAAAATGTAATTATTTACTTTCAATGTAATGGGTAATGGTAATGAATGATATTGCTAAAAATGAGAAAGTAATTGTAATGCAATTGGTACCGTAATAATAATAAAAATTTATTTATTTATAAAGCGCCTGTTACCAATATAAAACACTGCTCAAAATGGCTTATAAAGATTATAATAAAATATGACATGTAATAAACAAATTAAAACTGTACATGTACTTAATTGGTCCCTCTTCTGTCGGGTGCATATTTTAGATGAGCCGAAACTGCTGTTATTATCTCGGCTTCCTTGCAGCTCGGCTGACTGATCATTACACTATCTGAAGAATACAAAAAAACTGTATATTTACTCTGTCAAATTTTGTAAATTATATAATTGAGTCCGATCAAAAAGGTCGTCTTAAAGCTGTAACAGATAATTCTGCATCCCATGAATTATGGAGCAAAGGTGGCTAATTGGGTAAAACGCTGGCTCGCTTGTCTGGAGGTCGCATTTTCGATCCCTACATTTGCCGAGAAAGTTCAGTAGGCCTGACAAGGACAATTCGTTTGGATGGTATGAAAAACCGAGGCCACGTGTACACATTGACGTGCAAGTAAAAGATCTCTTTGGCAGTTGGAATTCGATATAAGAGTAGGCCATAGTGCCGCTGCCCGGGCAAAATTTCCATCATAGCACGCGGTATGGCTCATGCCCGTCTTCATTAGCCTAGTCGGAGCAGAACAGTAGGACGTTAAACCCCATATGAATTATATTATATATGACCCAATAACACATTCTATATGAGACATCGCTTGTGTTATAACTTTCATATTCTCCATGAATTTGTACGTGTAAGAAAGGCTTGGGTGTAAATTACAAAAAAAAAAGATCAATACTCATCGATGAAGTAATAAAAACTCCTGTATGCCCATACCATGTTTGATTATCCGATATTTAAGGATATGTTCGTAAATTGAGTATGATAAAAACAAACCTTGGACAACTTTGTAAATTTCTAAGTCCATTATGGACCGCCTCCCTTTAAATTAAATTGGGCCATTAGGGAATTAGACATCAACCTGTTAAAATAAAAAGACATACTGTTTATGCGTTTGACAATACCACGAATTTTGACTTTCCATTCCTTGACACCTAGAAATGGACATAAATGGGTTGCAACGCATATAATAATGTAATATGAATGTATATTAACTGATTTACATTCAATCGTTTCTGTTTTTACTGTAATGTCTAATCAGTTATGTTCGGCGAAATACGCGAAGAGAGAGAGAAATGGGGTTTAACGTCCACTTGACACAAACTAGGTCATTTCGGGACTAACATATGGTTCAATTTTATTTCAATAATTCGCTAGCGCGTAGGGGGTCTTTTTAGCAGTGGGACGAAACCTGAGGACCCGGAGAAAACCCACCAGGTTGGACAGGCGACCCAACTCCTTGTCACGTACAACCGGGGAAAAAAACGGTTAAAAAAAATTACAAACCGATATTCGTTTTCATATCATATTTGACATTCAAAACCAGGAATGGTAGCCAAAAATGTTTTCATTCACTAAAGACTATATAAATAGTTCATACAGCACGAGTGCATATATCACTTGTCATTTGTAATATATCACAAGTTTTGTATACGTTACATTACTATTAACACTCCCTGCAAAGCTTCATGAAATTGGTAACCCTATACATTTAAAGATAATAGATACTGGGAAAGTCCATTATACAATACTATAAATATTGTAATGGCCCCTTCCAATTCCAGACATAGATTGAAATAGCTCTTTCTAAATCCAGACATAGCAATTAACCAAAAACTAAATGATTAAAATGCAATACAATTATAAAATAAAAACACTAAAGTTTCAAAACTAAAATAAATCATTTAAGAGGTAATAAAACATATTTAAAATACTCAATTTACTTTGCAAGGAGGGTTCAATAATGAAATGACAATAGAAGTTCGGCTACCAGTAGAAAATAATCTACAATTACCGAAACAATTAATTCTTTTATATCATAATTATTTCTAAATGGACACAAAATGTTAATTAATCGTAACATACCTAATTTTCAACTTTTACGCCTTCTAGCAACTTATAAAACTCAATAGTTTATCACAGCTCTAATAAAGCAGCCATGTTTGGCTAGGATTCCTTTTTGGCGGAAAGATGTTTAAATTTGATTGGACCAACTGTCAACCTTGGGTGTGTTTTAAAATAAAATATGTATAAGATAATTAATCTTGACCTTTATTGGGTTTTTTTATATACCGGTACATTAAATATAGATATTTTGCAATTAAGTTATGAACGTAATTAAGTTTTAAAGGTGTATTAAACCTTTAATAAATGTTTTTAAAATTTTTTTTTTACCTATTCATTGCGGGTTCTTTATAAACGTTTCATAAACGTTAAAAAAAAAAATCATATTTACGGTACTACGTTTTAATGGAAAATTTTGAAAGAAAACATCAATTATGAACGTTATCTAAACATATTATATTAAACATTTTTATCAATATTTATCGAAAACTTCTGAAAAACATACACTTAAAACATTTAAAAAACGTTTGATAAATATTTTTTTTTTACATAACCTTTTAGAAACAAAAAAAAAATAACAAAAACAAAAACAAAAAACGTTTTTAAAATATTTTGTGCTTGCTGGGATTCACTTAGACCTGTAATTAATTAAATAATGGCCAGGTTTTACACTTATATATACTGAGCGCCATGGAAAACGCATCACTTAGTTTTTCGTATAACAAAATGATCCTGTAAACATATCTTATTTATTTTGCTTCTTATTGTGAACAATATTCAAATGGGAACACATCAATAACAACACATTTGTACACTCATGGATGTTTAATCTGTAATCAACGGTACAAAGTCAGATGTGTGTCCTCCGCGGGCTCTTACGCACGCTGTGCAGCGACGTCGCATGGAATTAACCAATGTTTGAAAGAAGGCCTGGGGCAAATTGTTCCATTCTTGGACAAGAGCAGCTTCTAAAGCAGCAATGGTGTGCATCTGTGGTCTCCGATACAGACGGCGTCCAATCGCATCCCAGACATGTTCTATCGGTGCCATGTCCGTAGACATGGCTGGCCAGTCCAAGACATTGATGTTGTTAGCAGCCAGGAAGTCCATACTAAAACGGGCGGTATGCGGACGTGCATCATCCTATTGGAAGCGCTGAAGTTGTGGGTGCGCTCGAAACATCGGAACAACAATTGGTTGCAAGACATCATCACGGTAGGCTACAGCATTAACGCGACCCCTGCAAATGTGTAGGGCGGTCCGGTGATGAAATGTGAAGCCTCCCCACACTATTACACTTCCCCCCCACCCCATCGATTCGTTTCGAAGATGCAGCAGTCTGCAAGACGTTCCTCAAGACGTCTACACACATGTTGACGGCCATCAGCGTGATAAGGATGAAAGCGACTCTTATCACTGAAGAGCACACTTTGCCAGTCTACTCTTCTCAATGTCTGGTGTGTCCTTGAGCCCATATCAAACGCCGCTCACGGTGAGGATAGCTCCAACATAAGGTCGTCGTGCACGGAGTCCTACTTCTCTTAGACGACGTCTTACGGTGTTGGCACTTACTGGTCCTTGTCTTCCGACGACTGCTGCACCTGTTCGAGTCGCTGGGCGGAATCTGTCACGCAGATGAGTGACCAGGACGTTGACGGTCACGTGTTGATCCAGTAATTCGAACACGTTCCACCAACCTTACAATAGTGGACTGATGACAATTGAAGTGTCTGGCAATAATAGCACGTGTAGACATGCCAGCCCTGGACATTCCCATGGCTTCATTCCGTTGATTTTCAGTAAGTCTCGGCATCTCTAGCTCGATTCCTTCACACGTCCAACAACAAATTACGACAGATTGATGTTTCACAGTTCATGTACAACACATTAATTTGAAAACATGCTTTTAAAGGGCTCACACACAATGCTGCACGTGAATATTGGGTTTTTCATGTGCATCTTATGCAATTTTTTTGGTGCACACGGGCCGAAATTTTTTGCGTTTGGGAGCATTGTGTGAAACAATAGTTCATAGTATTGCATAATATTATACATACAAAACCACCTAGTAATAAAATATTTGGGAAAAAAAGTGATGCGTTTTCCATGGCGCTCAGTAATATAACGGTATCTACTTAAAATGATCATTTAAATACTTAACTTCATTATTCTTTTATTATCATTTCTTTTTTTTATACCGGAATAGTATTATTAAATTTACATTAGCACTATTAGATGTCGATCTACGGCTGTTTTTATTAATAATTTGTTTAGTGAAGCCGAATGATAAAATCGCGTTAAGTCTACCAACTACCAAGCGTCGATCGAGATTTTGCCGTGGGTAACAAATCTCCGTAAAATCAAATAGCCCAGTGACGTGTAGTATAGATCAAATGGCTTGCTATGTGTTGAAAATTATTCGTTTAACGGCAATGTATATGAGTAATATGAAAAAACTAATGATGAGAGATTTCATTTAGATTAGATCTACTTGCGCAACACATCAACGCAAATGTCTAGCCTAGACTAGTGCAGATCACGTCAGTCAGTTCTAAATTCTACGTCGCTTGGCCTAGACTCGTGTATTCTGAGCGGACTGACACAATCATGCAGCTGGTCCAGCTAGTTTTAATAGTTAAAGCGAGAATTTCATATTTTCTAAGAAAGTCAAAACATAATTATTTCTATATCTTTTGCTCAATAGGCTGTCAACTCACTATTATAGGATCATAGGTATCATTATGACGCTTATAAAATCATTCACACCGGAAATAATAACACAATTACCACCTTTGTTTTTCTCCCCCCCCCCCCCATGGAAAAACTATCTTCAAACGTTTGAATTTGAAGTTGAAAATGATATTTTGGCCAATTTCTCAACTGGCAGTAGTGAATTATAGGAATAATAGGATTATTCTGTAACTTAAAAATATAACTTAAAAATATGAAATTCACTCGGCACAGCTGCAGTCTGAGTCTGTGTTTTGAAATGAACGTCGCCACTTACACCGCGGTCGTCAACGAAGTCCATGCCTACCTTACCGGTAATCAAATTCGAGGGGCTTTCATATTCAACTTAATAATAATAGTCCCTGTTACTACATGATGTATGTATAGATGCGCGTGTTTTACATACATGTAAATATAGTTGGTGTTTTTGTTGTTTTATAGCCAATGATAATGCTGTAGCGTAGGTAGCCTAATGTTTTGTTTGTATACTGTCTCTAATAGCCTAATGGGGTGTTAAGATACAATATAATTTTATCTGATCTTATATTAGCCTTAGAAGAAGCAATTGACGATTTTTATATCCCTTCCACATACCCAGTTGAGAGTTAAAATAATAGAACTTACCTTCGGCACGAACCAAAAAACCAATATGGCGTCCCAGAAGCATCTTTCGCGGCAACATTAGAGTCACGTTATCAGTATCCGCGGGAAAAAAACCCGCTAGTGTTACCAGATAATTTACTGAAGAATTAACCGGAATATTTGTCAGCTTCTAGTTGTTTTACAATAAGCCTTAATTAAAATGTATTATAGCTTGTATTGTGTTATTCAATCTCGATCTACGTCGTTAACCAATACAACTGTACCCAAGATCATACGTCAATTTCTATAGATAAGCGCATTGCAATTCCTGTTTTAGGCCCGTATTATGCACTGAATTTGTGTAGCAAACGCTGCACACTACACAATATGCATTAATCACCATTTTCTGTGCTTTGTGTTATTATTTCAATTGCAAAACACCGAATGTAAAAACAGCGACATTTAGGTGCGGGAGAGGCATCTCGTTTACAGTTCATAATACATTTTGTATAATACATGACGGACGTAAACGCCTTTTCTTGCTTTCCCAACCCGTGTGCTCAGCAACATGAAAGCAGGCCAGTATTGCCTATTTATTACACCAATAACTTTAATGCATTAAAGGAAATTATGATTTCCGAAAAATTATAAAGCAAATAAATGATCGATGTCGCACACCGCCGAGTGGGACCCGACGAAATGTTTTAATCCGCAATCAATGCAGTACAAATTCGCCGTGTTCAATGACAAGAAAGTGAAAATGTTATATTATACTTAAAAGTCATCGAATTTGGGGCCCTTTATTTTACTGACAAGAAAGCAAAATATTTTCTTCCAAATAACATTCTGAAAGTTCCGCTTTCACTTTCTCTCGGGATTTTGAATGTGACTTTTTACCTAAATTGCTGCCGGGAACAGGGAATGTCAGGCAATGTCATGACCTTGACTCAGGTTACAACCCCAAAAATGACCTTGCGGGTGCGGGTCACGACTTTGACCTTGACATTTATTAGCGAAAGTCTGGGTGGTACATGAAGTTTTGGGACTTTTTCGATCCCAAGGTCAAGGGTCAGGTCAAAGGTCAAGGCCCCATTCGAAAGGTCAATGAGTTGCCTATCCATGGTCATGACCTTTGATTTGCCGCGCAGACCCGGGGCCTCACCATGTGCCCGGGAGCATCCGACTCAGTAGATATTTTGGTGACCTTGACCCTTTCAGATGACCTTGACCTACCGTGGTCATGTGGACCAAGATGACATTTTGGAAGGTCAAGGTCCAGTGGTCCTGACTTTATTAGATGGGCCTCTAGGGTTCAAAAACCAAAATACTTCCGGGGCCCCTAGCGGGTCAAGGTCACGACTTTTGGTTGCCGATTTTAAAAGATGAAGAACAAATGTTGGGTCAGTCTATCGGGTCACCAAATCCCGGGGCGATTGGAAGACATTTTTTGGGCAAATTTCCCTAGAAAGTGAAATAGCTGAGTATTACAGCGGTGTGGTCTAAGGGCAGATAACTCGCCCATCACAAATCGGATCCGACGACCTTGAGGTCGTGGCTATTTAAACTAAATTGACCCCTGGGAGTCTCGTGGTGACCTTGGTTTGACAATCAGAGGTCAAGGTTCGAACTTCTATATATGACGTTTCGATAACGTTATGACAACGTTGTGACAACGTTTTAACAACGTTGTCACAACAATCTGTATATGACGTTTTGATAACGTTGTGACAACGTTGTGACAACAACCTATGACGTTTTGATAACGTTTTGAAGACGTTGTGACAACGTTGTAACAACGCCGTGACAACAACCTGTATATGACGTTTTGATAACGTTGTGACAACGTTGTGACAACAACCTGTATATGACGTTTGAATAACGTTTTGATGACGTTGTGACAACGTTGTGACAACAACCTGTATATGACGTTTTGATAACGTTTTGAAGACGTTGTTACAACGTTGTGACAACGTTGTAACAACGTTGTAATAACGCCGTGACAACAACCTGTATATGACGTTTTGAT